AGCATTTATGCTAAGTGAAATAAGCCAGTCAATGAAGGAAAAATACCACATGATCTACTCATTCATGGATAATAAAGACCATTACAAACTTTTGAACAATAATAGATACAGAGGCAGAGCTGCCTCAAACTGATTGTCAAACTGCAGTGGGAAGGCCAGAGAGGGTCGGGGGGCAGGAGGGAGGGGAGTAAGAGATCAACCGAAGGACTTGTATACATGCATATAAGCATAACTAATGGACATAAGACACTGGGGGGTAAGGAAGGGCAGGGGATTGTCAAGGGTGGGGGGGGGAAGGACACATATGTAATACCCTTTGTAATACTTTTAGCAAAATAAATAAATAAATAAAGAAAGAAAGAAAGAAAGAATCATGGCCGATTCAGGTTTCTGGGAAGAGGAATATGAGGGGCTGGTGTTCTGCGTAGTTTGATGACATTGATGTGGTGCATTGTAAGCAAGAAAGTAAAACAATGGGGTCAGGTGCGTCTTTATGGAGAAAGGATAAGTGGCAAACTGAAAATTAAATTTAACCCATCTTCATCGTTGGGCAAATGAACACTTGGAATGCACAGTTGTGGTGACTGTACTGGAAGTGAAGTAGAATGGAGAAGGGAGCCTCGAGTAATCCAGAAAACAGAGAGCCTTCCCCGTGTGTCCAGCTCAGGAGGTGAGGCGGGCTCAGGACAGACAGCCTGGGACACAGCTGCATGGCCAGCAGCCGCATCTTTTACAGGTTGACACCAGGCAGAACAACTATGCTCTCTCTCATTCTATCTGCTGTGCCTCGTGGGCCATATGAGTCATGGATCTCATTCATTCATTCATTCATTCGTTCACTCATTCAGCATTTATAGTTCTGTGTTGACACCAAGTTACTAGGGTAAACATGACAGGAAGCCTGTAGAAATGAAGCCAGTAGAGGAGACAGTGTGCTCAGTCTCACGCTGAGGTGCTGCAGGGTCCCGGGAGCAACCACTGTTGTGGGGGTTGGGGATGGCCGCACAGAGGAGGGAGGTTTGTGCCGAGCTTGAAGCACAGTTGGCAGTTTAACAGACAATGAGTAAAGGTGTGGATGGAGGTTCCAGCAGGAAGGCCCATCATGCTGACAAAGACTGAGTGTTCGGGCTACAGGGTTAGGGAGGTCACAGACCAGGAAGGGCCTCAGGGCGGTGGGAGCCATTGATATTTTTGCAGCAGGGACATGAATATCAGGTTTGAGTAGAGGGGTGACTCTGGCAAAGCTTGGGGATGATTCAGAGTGGTCGCTGCTTAGAGGCAGGAGGCCAATTGGCATTGCTGTTGGCCAGTGGTTCTCAAAGTGGAGTCCCCAGATCCTCAGCATCAACCTTACCTGGAACTTGTTGGAAATCCAAATTCTTGGGTCCTACCTGGAGAGTATTATGCTAAGCGAAATAAGCCAGTCAGAGAAAGACAAATATCACATGAAGTCACTCATATGTGGAATCTAATGAACAAAATAAACTGTTGAACAAAATAGATCCAGAGACATAAAAGCGTGGAATGGACTGTGGAATCTCAGAGGGAAGACGGGGGTAGGTGGGAAGAGATCAACCAAATAACTTGTATGCATATATGCATAACTCATGGACACAGGGTGGTGAGGGCCTGGGGTCGGGGTGGAGGGGGGCAATAAGGGGTCAATGGGAGAAAAAGGGGGGACATATGTAATACTTTCAACAGTAAAGATTTTTAAAAAACTATCACAAACAGACAACAAAAGCTACAAATTCTTGGGTCCTACCCCAGACCTATTGAGTCAGAAACTCTGAGGTGGTAGCCAGAAATCTGTTTTCACAAACCCACAAACCCTGCAGAAGAGTCGGTGCACACTCAATTTGGGAACCTCTGTGTGGTCTAAACAAGATGTGATGGTGGCCCAAATGGAAATGGTAGCAGTGCAAATGAAGTGGGGTGGGGCTGACAATGGAAATAAGTCCAAGAGGTTAACTAGAGGACTTATGAGAAGATGGGGTGCAGGTGGGTGGGTACCAGGGGAGCAGAAAGGGACAGAAGCAGAGTCTGGCCTTGGGTAATGGAACTGCTTCCTCATATAGGTGTCCCTGGTGGGCTTCCTGTTCCTTTTGGGTTTATACATCTCATCTCTGGCCTCCTGTATGGGGGGCCTCTACGGAGCCCCCCGGATCCTGCAGTGCATTGCCCGAGAGAAAGTGATTCCCGCATTGGCCTGTCTGGGGCAAGAGGTGAGTAAACTTTTTCTTGACAAATGTCCATTTTGCCATGCACGTGATTCTTGGTAAATAAATTGCTTAATGCTTCTTGATTAGAGCCACGGGTCAAGTTCTCCTAGGTGGGGAGAAACAGGAATGCAGAGGTCATTTCTCGCACCCCCATCCTCTGGCTGCCTTAGGCTGGGGCCAGCCAGACAAAGCATCTGTCCATGTCACAATCACCCAGGGCTGCTAGCACTGGGATCGCTAACTGTCACAGAAATGTCTTGGATCCTGCACAGAGGGACAGGGAGTGCCACATCCTTTAATTCAGGGTCCTCCGAGTTTAGCATGGAAGAAAGAATCTCTTGGTGAGGAGGGATGTTGGTCCTGTGACTTTAACTCTGCCCTCGAGTTCACCTTCCCTTTACTTCCAGCCTCTGGGCTCCCTCCTAATCCTCATGGCCCAAACCTTAACTGATCCAGTATAGCTTGTTTGGGCCACAGAATGATCAAATGAGACATTTCTAAAACGGAGGGGATGACTAGAGAGACATAAACAGAGAGAACCCCACTTCTCAGTAATGTGGTTTGCAAGCTGAAGTTCATTTCTGTCTTGTTGGAGCACCAGACAGGCCCTCCCCAACCCCTTTCCCATCCCGAGCCTCCCTTTGAGGTCCTGGTAGGGCATGTAGCCTAGACTAGGCCCAGCAGATGGGTTAGGGCCACCTGGTTGCAAGTCCTTAGTTCTTCCCTTTACCTTCCTCTACTTCTTATGCATCAGTCAGGGTAGGCTGGGTAGAAGTAATGACTATCATCTCTACACCTTCCAGGTGGTATATGCTTCTGATTTTATTTCAATTTTACTTATTTTATTAGGCAATAGATACTCACAGGGTTCAAAACTAAAAGTGATATAAAGGTATACACTGAGAATTTTTTTTTTCTATCATGAATCTTTTTTTCTTTTCTACCCCAACCGCAACCATGCCTTATCCATAGCTGTTTTATTAGTTTTTTATGAATCTTTCTCTCCCCTATTTTTATGCAAGGATAGAGTTTGACACAAGTTGTTATATGCCTTGCTTTTCTTCATTTAATATAGCTTAGAAGTCTGTCTTTGCATATGGATGTAGAGAGAATGTTCCCATTCTTTTGTTTTATCATGTGGATATACTATAGTTTATTTAACCAGCTCCCTATGAATTGATGCTCGTGTTGCTTCCAGTAAACAGAGTACAAAGAATAATCTCTGTGTGTGCGTGCATGTGTGTGTATAGTTTTGTATATGTGTCAATGTGTCTATAGGATACATTTGTGTGAGTGGGTTTGCTGGGTTCAAGGGTAAATGTGTTTTTCATTTTAGGAGGCCAATGCCTTATCCATTAGGCAACTGGGGTGTTTTTCATTTTAATAGGTATTTCCAAAACACCTCCCATGGGATTGCTATTATTTTGTACTTCTAACAGCGATATATGAGAGTTCAGTTTCCCCACAGCCAGCACCACTGTTAGACCTGGGCCAAAGACCCTGCTTTATAGGACTGTGTTTTGGTCTTTAGGGTAAGAAGTTCATGAGGCCAAGGGTCCAGGTACTGTACTGCCTGCCTTGGAATTGCCTGCCCATATGTCCCCCAGCCCACATCCAGGCTCATGGGCTGTGAGCTGGAGGCTGTGCATGGCCCCCCTCCAGTTAGGAACTCAGGAGTGTGGGAATTCTAAACCAACCTTCCCCATCGTCCTGAAGGTGTGTTTGTCAAGGAAAGGCTAGGACAAATGTGATCTAACAGTTTGATAGCTTGGTTTATAATTATAAATATTTAGACATACGGTGTGTGGACTGCCATTTGCACTCTTGCACCAGGCATCACAGTATCAGCAATGAACCTGTCCACAGTTCATTGTCAGATGTGGATTTTTGCCAGTTGAGTAGTGAGAAATGGCATCTTAGGACACTTGTTTGTATTATTCTTATTATGAAAGAGGTTGAACATCTTTTCGTCAAAGAGTCATTTATATATATATATATATATATTTTCAGTGATTGTTGCTCTTTTTCTTTCTAATTGCTAGAAGCTCGTTCTCTGTTAAGGAGATTAATTTTTGTGATATACATTACAGATATTTTCTCTAATTTGTTTTTTCAAAGCTTCTTTACATATAATTAAATTTTATTGGCACTTTTTTATGATGAAGAGAAGAAACGTTTTAAAATTTTTGAGATTTATACAATATACAGAAAAGGTCATAAACCCAATACGAACAGTTTAAGACTAACTATGGCGTGAACATCTCTGTAGCCTCCACCCGAGAACACTGCCAGCCTCCAGACACCCACCCTCCACACCCCAGCCTGGTCCGAGCCCTGAACCTCTCTCTGGGGAAGCTACTGTCCTGCCTTCTGTGATAATAATATTCTTTACTTTCTTTGTAGTTTTGCCCAGAAGTTGACAAAGTTTTTCTGGAAAGTGCAAATACTAAATATTTTAGGTTTTTCAGGCCCTGCGATCTCTGTCACAGCTCAGTTTTGTCATTGTAGCTCAAAAGTTAGCACAGATAATACCAATGGGGAGAGGCTGTATTTCAATAAAACTTCATTGATGGGACACTGAAATTTGAATTTCATGTAATTTTCATGCATCACAAAATATTACTCTTCTTTTGATCTCCTCCCTCCCTCAGATGTTTAAAACTCTAAAACAATTCTTAGCTCTTGGGCATGCATAAACAGATGGGGGCCAGATCTGGCCCTGGGGTCATAGTTTGCCAGCTCCTGGTTTACTCCATACGCATCACCAAACAAAATAATTTAATTTTGTCTGTTTTTTAACTTTATATTAATGTGACATACTTCTTTCACTCCACATTATGTTTTTGAGATTCATCCACTTTTTGGCTCATTAGCAGTTTGTTTATTATCATCCCTATATAGCATTTCCTCATTTGCTACCGTTTATCCGTTCTGCTATTGATGGACATTGAGGTCATTTCAGTTGGGACCATTACAGACAGGGAGTGAACATCCTTGTACTGGCACAGGCACACAGGCGGAGGCCTTCCAGACCACACGCTCGTTAGCGCAATGGCTAAGCTGGAAGGCGTGTGTGCTTTCCCTCACGAGAGAATACCAACGTCTTCTTCCAAGGGAGTTGTCCATTAGTAGCATTCCCGCTTCTCTGTGTTCCTGCTGTTATCAGACAAACCTTAATTGATTCAGTTTCTCTGTGTTCTTGAATTATCAGACAATTTTTGCCAATCTGGTGGGTATTTAATGGTATCTCACTATGGTTTTAATTTGCATTTTCCTGATTATATAATGAAATTGGGCATCTTTAATATGTTTAATGGGTATTCTTTCGCTTTTTTTTTTTTTTTTTTTTTTTTTTACTGGGTTGTCTGTCTCTTTCTAATTGTTTTGTGAGGATAGTTTTGGAGTATTCTGACTGACCCTTTGTCAGTTACACGAGGTGGGCAAAAATAGGTTTACAGTTATGGGTCTGCAAAACAGAGTTTATTCTTGCATAATTATTGATTAATTATTGTATTATTTATTTCAGTACAACTACTTTTTCCAACTTCTGTAGGTTTCACAAATATCTTTCCCTGTTCCATGGCTTGTCTTATGGTGACTTTTGGTGAACAGAAGTTCGACTATTTTGTCTCTTTACAACCCACCTTATCAAAGTCCTGACCTGGACCACTAGTATGTCCGTCAGCACACCTAAGACTCTCCTTTTAAGTTTTTTTTTTAGTTTCTGATGATTTACTTTATTCTTAGTAGTTTTATTGTTAGAATATGCTAAACAATTGTAGGTGTACCAAAAACATAATTCTTAAAAACAATAAAAGTATATTTTTACTCTTTTTCCTTTTTTTAAGAATTTTACTCTGAAGTACTAGGGAAGGTATTTCAGGTCAACAGGAGCTCTGTCCTCAGAGACTCAGGCTGATGATGACCTTGTCATCTTCATCCTGTGACTTCCAAGGTCACTATCTATCCCAGCCCTCAATAAGGGGAACACACCTGGAGGAACCCGTGGGAGGTTTCCAGGTCGGAACCAGAAGTGAATTATATGCCTGCCCTTCACATTCCAGAGTGCTATCAGTAAAGGAGGGGAGAGCAGTGGTTAGAGCCTGTGTAAATCTGAGGGTAAAATCTTTATAATATTTGTTGATGGAGAATGAGAAAATGAGAAGAGGCATCAAGAATTTTCCTTGACTGAGCAACGGAAGGATGGAATTGCCATTTGCTGAGATAAAGACTGCAGAAGGAGTAGATATGAGCGTCAGGAGATTGGGGGGGGGGGACAACAATTTGATTTTGGACATGCTAGGTTTGAAATCCTGTTAGGAATCAACTGGAAATGTTGAGTAGACAGTTGAATATTTAGGTCTGGATTTAGGGGAACATTTCAGGCTGGAGATTCAGATTTGGGAGTTGAGAGCATAAAGCTGGTATTTAAAGCCACGAGCCCCGTTGAGATGACCTAGGAAGGGAGTGTAGAGAGACAAGAGAAGGGGTCTGAGGACGGAGCCTGGGCTGCTGTGGAGGAGCCGCAGTGGAGACAGAAGGAGCGGTCAGTGAGGAGGGAGATGAATCAAGAGAAGTGAGATGAAGAAAGTCTTTCAAAGTCCAGAGAGTGACCAGCTGGGTCGAATGTAGTTCTTAGGTCAAGGAAGATGAGGACTGAGAAGTAACTATTGTTTTTGGCCCAAGAACGATGTCAGTTTCTGTGATGAATGTCTCCTGCGGAGTAACAGATTATATGGAGTTAGCACATATTTTCCACTCCTGTCCTGAAGGTCACCCTACCCACCTCCATTAATAACAGATGTGTTGGCCCCAGCTGTCTTCTAGGGTCTGCCACTCCCCTGGAGTCATTTTCTCCGTTTTCTCCGCTGTCGTCTGGAAACAATCAACTTTCCATCTCTTTGATTTCCAAAGTTGGTGTTAGAACCCAATGAAAGTTCTAAACTAATGCCCCAATTAATAGTTACTAATACAACTAATACCCATGTTGTGTTAGGAGCCTACTGTGTGTCAGTGCCATGTCAAACACTGTAGCTGCATTAGCTCTGACCCCACAATAATTCCATGGGTTGGATGTTATCCCAAGCTTGTAGATGAACACACCAAGGGTCACATGGGAGAAGTGGCTGAGCCCTCATGAGCTGTGTTTCTATCCGATAATGGGATTTTCTTCTGAAATTTCATAGTCCTGCATGTTGTTTTTGTTTTTGCAGAAAGGGCCAAATAAAACCCCCGTAGCTGCCATCTGCCTGACCAGCTTGGTGACCATGGCCTTTGTCCTTGTGGGTCAGGTGAATGTTCTGGCTCCCATAGTCACCATTAACTTCATGCTGACATACACCGCGGTGGATTACTCTTACTTCTCCCTGTCCATGGTTCCCGGCAGCCACCCCCAGGCGCCTGAGCCAGTGCACAGGCAGGACATGGAAGCTCTCCTCTGCTCTGAGCACCTGCTGTTGGAAAAGGCTCCCGGGTATGGCTCCGAGGGCACTGCCCGAAGCCTCTCTGAGGGCACTCTGCTAGAATTCACCAAAGACATGGATCAGCTCCTGCAGCTATCCAGGAAGCTTGAGAGCAGCCAGACCAGGCCAGGAGAGAGCAACAGGATCCCAGAGCATCTGAGGGGGAAATGCAAGAAGGCCACCAAGCAAACCCTGCAAGATAGCTTCCTCTTGGACCTCAAGTCGCCAACTTCCTTCCCCGCAGAAGGCCCTGACAGCTTGCCCACTGCCGTCTGGGCGGGGCAGGAGTCCTACTGGAACAAGCAGGGTGCCAGGAGGGAAAGGGCTCAGCCTGCGGGAGCGCGTGGAGAACAACTTGTCCCTGAGCTGAGTAACCAGCCAAGGCCAAGTGGAGAAGGTGAGCGCCTTGAAATCATCCTGGGGCCTCCTAATTTGGGGTGACTACTGGTTGCCTCACCTACCCGGTTAGCATAACCCTCTTTAGCCAGCTCACTTTAAAGTCTTTGTGAATTGTATTTTATATTTATTTTAAAAGTTATATTCAAGTATCAGCTGAATTTGTAATTCTACCCTGTTGATTTTAGACAGAAATTTCTACCTACTCCTCTATGTGGGAGCCTTGACTAGTAATTGAATATCGTTTTTATTTTACTCAAAAATTAGCTGAAGTATAAGGCCAACGTGAATGAAACCGATTTCTTTTTCCAAGAGCAGTGGAAATGTGTTATGACAAACTGCCTGGCAAAAACTCAGTATGTTTTGTCTGTGGAAGATAAATATCCCCAAACGGGCAAGAGGGGATGGGGAAGGTGGCGAAAGGAGCCCAGCTTTTCTTTGCTTTCTCAAATCGGCAAACACAGAGACGCTGAGAGAGACTCTCAAGGAGAGGCTTACAGAGCCGGAGGAATTCTGAGAGAGAATGTATACTTTTTGAGTCTTCCAGATTTTAGGTGCCTGACAAGTGTTCTTGCATGTAAGAACAGATACTAGCATTTCCCATTTCACCAAGGAAGGCCCTGAGGCCCTGTGAGTCACAGAGGAGTCTCAGCGCTGATACTTTGCACAGCTGGACGTGGCACCCGGGTGTGCCTGGATTTGAAGCCGAATGCTTCCCTTCCCATTGCCCTGCCCCTGAGATCTGTATAGCCCGGCGGGCAGAGAGGAGCAAACCCCCGGGACATAGAAGGAGATGTCTAAGAATAAACGCTTTACATTCTCCCACACACCTACTTTCTCTTCCTTACCTCCTCATCGGTGTGAGGTAGGAACGTTATTAAAAATTTAAAAATCATGTAGTTTAATAAGCCAAGTGGAGTTAAAAGTCATATAACAAAACATAGTTTCCTCTCTTCTGTGTCCCCTTTATCCTTCTCCATCCCCTGGTCTCACCCCCGGAAAATCCCACTTTCAAGCAAAAAGGTGCTTCTTCTGTTAACCTTAATGTTGCTAAATAATATATTTGTATTGCTAGTTTTAGAAAATCCTCATGGGAGGATATGTTTTTTATTGATTTGAGAGAAAGAGGGAGAGAGAGAGAGAGAGAGAGAGAGAGAGAGAGAGAGAGAGAGAGAAACATCCATCGGTTGCCTCCTGTATGCGCCCCAACTGGGGATTGAACCCACAACCTAGGTATTCCCTGACTGGGAATCAAACCCACCACCTTTTTGGTGTACAGGATGTTGTTCAACCAATTAGGCCACCTGGCCAGGGCTATTACTACTTCTTGCTATGTCAGTTTCAGATATCATCTTTTGACTTCCCGTTATGGTAAATGAAGATTTAACTCATGTATTCCCCTCTGATGTCTCGTTCAATGTCCCTGTGTAATTATATCACTGTTTTGATTAGCTTAATATCTAGTATTCATATTATCATAATTAAGTAAATATTGCTTACCTCTGAGCCATATACTCTACTATGATTACATGTCCTTTTTTGTCCAACATTTTCTGTTTCCTGGAGTTAATAATTGCATTTTTAAAATTTGCTTTTTTGGGGGGTCATCAATTATTCTCTAAATGCTCTGGCAGATAGGTCAAATGCCTCTCCATGTTGTTTTCCAAATGCTCGAATTCTTCAGAAATCTGTCATATCCATCTGTTTTCTCCTCTGGCCCACGGCTGCTCTACTGTTCTGCTTGGACTGACTGACTGTTCCACTCTAGGCTGCTGTCCTAGGCCTGCTGCAGGCTGCTGTCTTGGATCCAGGGTAGAAGAGATTTCTTCGATACAATATTATAGTAGACTTTTGCTGTTGTTGTTTTTTGTTGTTGTTTGTTTTGGGGTTTTTTTTTGCCTCCCCAACACTGAGTGACCTCCCTATGCTTGAAGAATTTCCAATGTTATGAGTCTTGGTGGGAGGCAAAGCAAGCCTTTCACACTCAAAACAAAATGTCAGATGTCAGTTTTCCAACCTCTCCTGCAGCCAGAGTTCAGGCATAAGACCCAAACTCTGCCAACCGGATAAGCCCTCCTTATAATGGGAACTGGAAACCAAAGAAATGGGGACTTTGAGGAACTCTCTGGAAGCAGATGGTAGCTGCAGGAGGCCTACAGTCCTGCTTCCAGCATCCAGGGCTTTCAGGGTCCACGGGCGGGCAGGCTGCGCCATCTAGACCTTGGGGCCTGCAGCAGTGATGGCTCCATTGGGCTGCTCTGACATATAATTGTGAGTGTTGTCCCTGGCTGCATAGCCCTGAGCTTGATTCGGTAGCCCTCCCAGCTATTCTCAGAGGGGAGGCCGGGAAATGTCTTTTTGGCTGGTCATATTGCTGCTTCACATGACATTGTGTAGTTATTTTCCTAAGGAAGAAGAGGAGATTGGGTGGCAACATTCGGGCTCTGCCACAATTGTCCTGTTTTCAATTTCCAAGAGCTCTTGGGTGTAACCTAATTCGTCCTTGTCCCTTAAAAAAAATGAGCATCATTTTATTCTTGTTTCATGGGTAAAAATGGTTTATCTGATCTTTCTGGTAATAGTACTTATTCTCCCTTTAAAGTCTTTTCTGCTCCTTTTACTGTCTGTCCTGTGTTAGATCCTTTTCTCTTTGGCTTGATCTCTCTCTCTCTTATTAGCCGCTTCACTAACATGTCTGTTGATCTTCTTATCTCTGCTCATACTTAGAAGTGAAGCCCTAAAAAGCACACTGGGCAGGGCTTGTTCCTTGGGAACCTCGCTGTACGCGACTGATTAGGGAATAAACTGGCTTCTTCACAGAGGACTCACCCTTTAACGATCTTTCTAGGGGAGGGGTTTCAACCTTCCCCCCCCAAAAATCCCCGGGAATTTTTTTTAAAACCCATTTTTGGGCCTCATTCTCCGGAAATTCTGTTTCTTTGTTATGGGGTGGGGCCACAACATTAGTAACAAAGAAACAGAATTTCCGGAGTATGAGGCCCAGAAATCAGGATTTTAAGAAGATTCCCAGGTGATTCTAATGTGCAGCCAAGGTTGAGAACCACTGCTCTAAAGGGTTCCTCTGGGGGTCCTCAGTTCCTCCGCACAAGAGTCACTTAATCTCTTGCCTGAGGGTCACCCTGATGGCTGCTTGCAATCAGGGAGCAAGGTAAGGTAAGGGAGTTGGGGGCTCCCCACTGTTTAGGATATAAGCTTTCATTTAATTCCCCAGTTTCTAGCCCAATTTCCCTACTCTTTGCTGTGCCTGGTGTCCTGCGTGTGGGCACTCTGTGGTTTGATTTCTTTGGAGGAAATCCCCCCTGGGAAGGGGATCGGGCAAAGAAGGAGTTGTTACCACTGGGCAGAGGGCCTCCGTGTCCACCTGTTTCTTTTTGTTGTTGTTGTTAATCCTCACCTGAGGATATTTTCCCCATTGATTTTTTAGAGAGAATGGAAGGGAGGGGGAGAGATGGAGAGAAACATGGATGTGAGAGAGACACATTGATTGGTTGCCTCCTGCTCAATTGGCTGCCTCGTTGCACACGCCCCACCTGGAAGAGGGCCAGGGATCAAGTCTACAACCGAGGTACATGCCCTTGACTGGAATCAAACCGGCGACCCTTCAGTCTGCAGGCTCACACTCTAACCGCTGAGCAAAACCAGCTAGGGCCCAACTGTTTCATAAGTAGTTTTACGACTAACCCCCTGCACCTTACCTCTTCCCAGGGACATGATACTTCCTGGTCCTGAACTTCGCTGGAGTCTGGGGGATGCATTGGGCTGCTTCTTACCAGCACCTCCCCTCAGGCTCTAGAGTTCGTCCCCTCTGCTCGGCCCAGTCTGTTACTGCTCCTCTGTCACCTTTTCATCTTCTAAGACCTGTTTTTATCTTTCCTCTCTCATTCTCCTTGTGTCTGTGGATTTATACCTATTTAATTCCTTTTCTGTCTTCTCACTGGGTTTTCAGAAGAGACTTACAGCCAGCTTGCCATGTTTAATCGCTGTAGTGGTTGCTACCCAGTCGCCCAGTTGAGAAATATCATAGCTACTGACCACTCCCTCTCCTCCGTCCTTGCTGCTTTGCCTTGGTATAGACCCTCATCATCTAGCACCCAGGCTCTTGTTAAGTCTCCCAATCAGTCTCCTGCCCCCAGATTTCCCCACATCCTGCTTCTCCTTCTCATTATTGTCCACTGAATGATGTTTCTGAAATAAAACTCTCATCTTGTGTCTCTTAGTTAAAAACCTTCACCAGAATCTAATGCCATCCATAGACAGTCCAAGATCCTTGGTGTGATCTTCAAGGTTCTTTATAATCCGGACCTACCTTCCTGGCCACTTTCCTCATGACAACTCATGCACTTACTTGTGGATCCACCCAGACTGGTGCCCTAAACACGTCATGTTCTTCATTCCTTCCTGCCTTGGTGTATGCTGTCCTGCCTCCTCAAATTGCTTCACCTCCCCCTTCTCCATCTGGAAAACTCTGACTTCATGTTTAAAATCCATCTGACTTTTCAGACCCATTTTTATGCCCTCTGAGAAGGATTACCTGGTCCCCCTGCTGTGCAAGCATAACATTTGATTCATACAGGAAGTATAAATAATTATCACATTGTCTTACACATTCAGGTCACATGTGTTTATACGTTTGTCTTCAGCTCCGCTCATCTGTCTGTCTTAAGGAAAAGAAATACTAGTTTCATTCCTGTGCCTTTAGACTGTGAGCTTCCTTTAGTCATAAAACATGTCTTTCCACCTTGTATTCATCACAGCTTTCCCACACAGCACACTACACATGGCACCCAACAAACACTCAGTAAAAGCTGGTGAAATTGATGAACATTTGAACAAATATTGTCTAAAAAATTTAAACATTGATCAGTAGAATAGAAAGTGTAAACTGTCATAAGAACCTAATCTGTAACAAACCAGATGCCATGAAATAACAAGAATCAAATTGCTACTGAATAAATGCTATTGAGAGCAAATGGGCCCCCCAAATTAACTTGGGGCTGTATTTTATGCCTTATATAGCCACGAATTCCTTATTTATAACAGCTGTGCAAGAGAAATATTACTGACTATTAAAGACGTCATCAGAGATAAAAAGGATCTGATTAAATGGAAATAAAAAACATTTGAACAACAGTGCCGCAGAAGGAAACAATTATTCAGACAAACACAACTGATAAAAGCATACCTTCCAAAGCATATTATTTTTAAAAACAGGAAGGTCAGAATCCAGATTATATTAAGCAGAGGTCAGAAGAGATGAATATGTAGTTTACATTTGAAAAATCAATTCCTAGACTCATATATTGTCCACTCAACAAACCAACTTTTATTTTTAAGTGTTAAATAATGTTTGTAACTAAAAATAGGCAGCATTTATTGAGCATGCCCCATGTTTTTGACACTAAGAGAAGCAATTAACACAGATTGTCTCATCTAAGCTCAGCATTAGGCATTGTTAATACACACACACACACACACACACACACACACACTAGAGGCCCGGTGCACGAAATTTGTGTGCTGGGGGAGGGGTGTCCCTCAGCCCAGCCTGCACCCTCTCCAATCTGGGACCCTTGGGGGATGTCCTGCTGCCGATCCCTGTGGGATCGGGCGTAAACCAGCAGTTGGACATCCCTCTCACAATCCAGGACGGCTGGCTCCCAATCGCTCACCTGCCTGCCTGCCTGATTCCCCCTTACTGCTTCTGCCTGCCAGCCTGATCACCCCCTAACCACTCCCCTGCCAGCCCGATCGATGCCTAACCACTCCCCTGCTGGCCCGGTTGCCCCCAACTGCCTTCCCCTGCCAGCCATCTTGTGGCTGTGGGTGCTGCCATCTTTGAGGGTGGGGCAGTCAATTAGCATATTCCCTCCTTATTGGCTGTGGGTGCCACCATCTTTGTGATGGTGTGAGGGTCAATTAGCATAGTCCCTCTTTATTATATACTATACATATACATATACATATACATATATATTTGATTTTAGAGAGAGTGGAAGGGAGAGGGATAGAGAGATAGAAACATCATCCATCAGCTGCCTCTTGCTGGGGACTAAGCCCGCAACCAGGGCATGTGCCCTGACTGGGAATTGAACTGGTGACCTCTTGGTTCATGGGTCAATACTCAACCACTGAGCACCACTGGCCAGTGTGGCTTGGTTGGTTAGAGGGTCATCCCATACATCAAAGGGTGGCAGGTTCAATTCCTGGTCAGGTTACATGCCCAGGTTGTGGGTTTGATCCCCAGTTTGGGCGTGTGTGGGAGGCAACTAATCAATGTTCCTCTCTCTCTCTCTCCCTTCCTCTCTAAAAATCAATAAAAAAATTTTTTTAGAAAGATGTAACAAGGAATATAAACCTGTTTAATTGCCCTGGCTTAGTAAATCTATTTGGGGGAATTGCATAATCAAGTTAGAAATAACTGAAATGTACCGCATTTGGAAAGCAGTTAAAAGAATTGCATTATCATGATAAAAGGCCACCTGGACTTGAAACAGGATCATTGTGGACGGCATCTGTGCACATTCTCGGTTTGTACATGCTGACTAGACCTGTGCTTATGTATTCTGAGAAAGACATGAGGTGCATTTACAGAGATAGTTTAATATTTAGATTCCTAATGTCTATAAAATTACTTAAATTCATGATTTTAAAAATTAACATAATTGTTTTCACCCTTCATGTTTAGTGTGTTTATATCTGCATGGATTTTGTGAACATTGAATTTGTTAGACATACCATTATATTTTAAAAGACACTAATGTTATTTTTACTATGGTTTTTATATTTGATATCTTTTTTAAAAACTATATTTTATTGATTTTTTTTTTAGAGAGAGGAAGGGAGAAGGAGAGGGATAGAGAGCTAGAAACATCAATGAGAGAGAAACATTGATTCAGCTGCTTCCTGCACACCCCCTACTGGGGATGTGCCCACAACCAAGGTACATGCCCTTGACCGGAATTGAACCTGGGACCCTTCAGTCCGCAGGCCGATGCTCTATCCACTGAGCCAAACCGGTCAGGGCTATATTTGATATATTTAATGTGCCTGATGCATGGTTTTGTTTGTTTGTTTTGCAACTAAAACTTGAAAAGTTAAGTTGCCTTTCTGGTCATTACTCTAGAACAGCGGTTCTCAACCTGTGGGTCGCGACCCCTTTGGCGGTCAAACGACCCTTTCACAGGGGTCGCCTAAGACCATCCTGCATATCAGATATTTACATTACGATTCATAACAGTAGCAACATTACAGTTATGAAGTAGCAACGAAAATAATTTTATGGTTGGGTCACAATATGAGGAACTGTATTTAAAGGGCCAGAAGGTTGAGAACCACTGCTCTAGAATTTCTAATGTGAAAAATGTCCCCTTCCACCAATAATCCACAAGGCTTGTTTCTTCCAGCAAAATCCTTAACAAGAGAAAAAAATTCCTTTAGTTATTTGGAAGGATTTTGAACCATATTGTTTGCCTGTGCTGTGAGACCTATTCAAAGTCATTGAGCATCCTTGCATGAATTCTCCCTCACATTGCTGATGTGTTGTCCTTGCCTGCAGGACACACCCCTTCCTAACTACTTTCTCCTGAGCTTCTCAGAAAGTGTGCACACACACACACACACACACAATTCTCTTAGGTACACTGTAATTGATATTGTGCAAGATCAAGATCAAGTATGAAAAGGTGAGCTTAACATTTGGCAAATCTTAGAGAGACAAAAATCTAAGTCGTTAACCAATAGTGTTCCTTCTTAGTAACCAAGAGGGCAACTGTATTTCACTAAGCCAATGGCTGAAAAAAATGAATCATGCATTGAACATGTTAAAGTTATACAATTTAATTAATGGAAGTATAACAGTATTATTTCTTTTTTTAAAAAGTAGCAGAGCCATCAATTCAAATCAATCATAATGCTTGGCAGAGTTTATTTCAATCCACAATTAATAGGGAGACATTTTTTTAAGCACTTCCTATACATGAACTTCTAAATGTCTAGTTTTGGCATTTAGAGATATAAGAGACACAATCCTTGCCCTCATGTATAAAAGATAAATATAATAATTGGCAACATATGATGAAGGAAGACAGATGTTGAGAGAATAAAGATTTCTCTGGGGGCTAGGATGGTTTGCTCATTCATTTAACCACATGAATGGAACATTTACTACATTCTAAGCACTGTTCAAGGTGCCGGAGAACATGCTGAATAGACATGGGTCTCTGCTATCATTGAGCTTGCGTTCTAGTAGGGGAAGGTACATAAACAAACAAACAAATATACACTGTAATGTCAGGTACTATGATGAGTAATAAGGTGGGGTGATGGGATAAGAGAGAGACTAGGTGGGGAGAGGGCGTACTGTTTCAGAGAAGTTTGTCAGGAAAGATCTCTCTGAGAAGAGGGCATTTTAATGGAGCAGTGAATTGTACAGTGAGGAATAGTCAAATTCTGAATATATTTGATGGTAGAGTCAGAGGATTTACTGATGGACTAGGTGTAGGTGTGAGGAAAAGAGCAGTCAAGGATGAATCATAGATATTTGAGTGAATGGTGGTGTCATTTATTCAGATGAAGAAGACTTGGGGAGAATAGATTTGTGCATTAGCCATGCTAAGGTTTGAGGTGCTTGTTAGCCATGTAAGAGGAGCTATTGAGAAGAAAACTAGATATTCAAAATTTTAGTTCAAGGGTCAAGGATGATGTAAATTTGAATCATCAATATATAGATAGTATTTAAAGCCATGGGACTAGATGAGATATCCCAGGAGTGAGTATATATGGGGGTAAAAGGAGTGCTGAGGACTGAATGAATGTTGGGATATTACAATATTTAGGGTTTGGAAGGTGAGCCAGTAAAGAAGACCAAGAAGAAGTGGTCAATGAGGTAGAAGGAAAGCTGGGAGAATGAGGCATCCTAGAAAGCAAGAGAAGGAAGTGTTTCAATAAGCAGGAAGTGATTACATGTGTCAGATGCTGTCTGAAAGGCTTCATAGGATGAGGACTGGGAATTGACCATTGAATTTGAAAAGATCAAGTCATTGGCAACTTAGGAAGAGTAGTTTTAGTGGAATCTTACAATCTTACGAGTGGGTTGAGGAAATAATGGGAGGTAAATAATGTATAGGCAATTCTTTTGAGGAGTTTTGCTATAAGGAAGACAAAGGAATAGGGCAGTAACTAGGGGTTAACCAGAAGGTATTTGCTTAAGTGGGAGAAATTGCAGTGTAGGGTATTCATGTTTAACTAGAGGTATTTATATTTAAATTCGTGCAAGAGTAGGCCTTCCTTGCCCCAGCTGCTGGCACCGGCTTCCCTCTGGCACCCGGGACCGGGCTTCCCTCGCAGCCCCATCTGGAAGACAGCCGGTCTAATTAGCATATTATGCTTTTATTATTATAGATGGTAATGGTTCAGTATAGGATGGAAAAATCAAGGATGCAAAAGCAAAATCCTCAAGCAGAGCATAAGCAGAGGATGGACCTTACACAGGAGCCGGGACTGTTCATCCACTGGACAAGGAGGGAAGGCAGAAGAGAAGGTTCAGGTGCAAGTGGGTTGGTAGATTTGGTGATGAGAGGATATGAAAGTTCTCCTTTGAGAGGAGAGATTGTAAACTTGTTACATCAGAGAGTAGGAGAATGAGTTGACTAAGACCACAAGAAAGTCAATGATTGAAGTGAGTGGAGGTTGTCTTTTAGGTTGAGAAGATGAGCTTATAAGTGTTTGTTCATAAAAATATAAGAGGATTTGGTAACAGATTGGTAATAAGGATTTGGCTCATTTATTTTTTAGATTTCTTCCTAAAGTCTAGGCTCCAGGAACAAGATATCCAGAGCAGAACTACTTCTTTCTACACTCGCATATGCAACCCCTGGGTCTCCCTGTTGGGGGTGAGTAGCTTCATTTTTATCTCAGTTGTCCTTGTGACATAATTCAAGGAGAATTGGAGACATGTGTGATCTCAGGGTTGGGGCTGTGGGAAGGAAAGAGGAGAGTCTTAACCAGGAGCAATGTCATTTAACTACCTGTTATATTAGAATTTAGGCAAGACTACAAATGGCAAGATTACATTTAGTGCAGCATTGATTTTAATCAGTGGGTTACTTGTAAAATAATCATCTCTGATAACCTCTTGGACACTAAATTTCTAGGTATACCAAATTAGCATAATTTCACTTTGTTTCTTCTAGGGAGGAGTAGGACAGTGAACTAGGAAAGTATTTATTGATAGTTTTGATTAGAGGGTACTTTCAGAAGGTATCTTCTCAAATGTCTGCTTAAATGAGTTTTTTTAAAAAATTATGAGTGAACTTCAATTAAGTAGACTTTTATAGTGATCAAAGGTTGATGAGAGGGACTAGCCTTGTGGTTTGCCTACAATGTGATAAACCATTAGGTGACTTGCCTTTCCTACTGTTTCCACAGGCCATTGGGTCTCTTGTCATCATGTTTGTGATCCAGTGGGTCTATGCTTTGATCAACATGTGTGTTGCTGCCATTGTGTATTTCTACATTGGTCGGGCCAGTCCCGGGCTTCACCTGGGTAAGCAGCAGAGCCGTTTTGCCACCACCTTCCTCTTTCTCTTTTAGGATCCATTGAAGAAATGTGTTTTGTGCACCAATTAAATGCCAACACTGACAGATATGAATCCCATTTTTAAGTAGTTTATAGTTTAGGGGGGAAATATGACATGCATATAAATGATAAATAAAAAAATAAGACATGTAGAAGTAAAATGGATGATAACAATAGCACAGGGGCCAGGAGGGAAGAAATGGAAATATACTGTTGTAAGTTTCTGATACTATATGTGAAGTACTATAATATCACTTAGAGGTAGACTGTGATAAGTTAAAAATGTGTACTACAAACTCTAAAGCAACCATTAAAAAATAACAAAGAGTTACAGCTAGTAAGACAATAAAGGAGGTAAAATTGAATTTTAAAATGCTCAAATCAAAAGAAAGCAGAAAAAGAAGAAAAGATAATAAAGGGCATACGGGACAAACAAAAAGCAAATAACAAGGCAGTTTATATAATCCTAGCCATATCAATCAATAATCACACTAAAAATAAATGGTCTAAACACTCTCAATAAAGTGGTCTAAACACTGAGGTTGTCAGATTGAATAAAAATGCATGATACAACTATATGCTACCTATACGAAACCTACTTTAAATATAAAGACACAAAATAAGTTCAAAATAAAAAGATACGATAATGTGAATCAAAACAAAGCTGGAGTGACTATATATTACTATCAGGCAAATAGATTTTAGAGAAAAGCATGTTACCAGGAATAAAGGATTATTTCATGAAGATAAAGTAAAAAAATCATGAAGAGGACATAAAAAATCTTAATCTTTATGCACTTAAAAATAGAGCTTTGAAATATATGAAGTAAAACCTGGTATAACTGTAACAAGAAATAGAAAAAATCATAATTAAAATAAGAGGTTTCAATACCTCTCTCAATAATCGATAAAACAAGTAGGCTTAATATTGGTAAGACATTAGAAGACTTGAATAACATTATCTACAAACCTAGACAAACTAAGATTTATAGACCATTCCACCTAACAGAAGAATATATATTCTTTTAAAATATAAATGAAATATTTACCATATTTTTAGGACATAAAAAGTCTCGGTATATTTAAAGGTATTCAAGTAAATTCAAGAACAAAGTATGGTCTCTGACCAAAGGAGAAGTAAATTAGAAATAAATACCAGAAAGATATCTAGTATTGGGAAATCCCCAAATATTTAGAAACTAAAGAACACTAAATGACTAAGAACACTAAACAATGCTAAATCAAGTAAAGAAATGAAATAACTCAGGGTTCAAAGAAGAAATAATAAGTAAAATTAAAAAATATTTGAAATTGAATGAAAATGAAAATATAACATCAAAATTGTGGGATGCAGCTAATTCGGTACTTAGAAGGAAGTTTATAGCATCAAATGTTCATATTAGAAAAGAAGAAAGGTCTTAAATCAATGACCCCCCACTTCCAACTTAAGAAAACTAGAGAAAGAAGAGCAAATTAAACCCAAATAAGAGAAACAAAGAAGCAATGGAGATAAAAGTAGAAATCAATAATATATAAAATAGAAAAAAGTAGAGAATGCCAATAAAACAAGAAACTGGTTATGTGATATCAGTACAGATGACAAACTTTTAGCCAGAGTGATCATAATAAAAGGAGAGAAGGTAAAAAATGACCAGTATCAGGAGTGAGGGAGATGACATTACTAGAAAATCTATAGATATTAAAAGGAAAATAAATAAATATTTTTAAACAGCTTTATGCCAATATATATGACAACTTAGATGGATTGGGAAAATTCCTTGAAAGAGACAAACTATCAGGGTTCATTCTAGAAGAAAGATAAGGCTATTTAAGTCATCTAGTAAAGAAGTTAAACTTGTCATTAAAACCTTCCCACAAAGAAAACTCAGATGGCTTCACTAATGAAACCTATCAAAACATTTAAGGAAGAAAGAATATAAATTCTATGCAAACTTTTTGGAGAACTACACACCAATATCCCTCATGACCATAGATACAAAAATTTGTAACAAAGTTTTACCAAGCTGAATAAAAAAAATATAAAAAGGATAATACATCATAACCAAGTAGGTTTATCTCAGGAATTCAAGGTTGGTTTAACATTCTGAATTATTCTATGTAATTCACCATATTTACAGACTAGAAGAGGAAACAAAAACATTTCTGAGAAGAAAGTAAAGAGGAAATTAAATAAATAAATGAAGACATATACTAAGTTCATGAATTGGAAGATTCAATATTCTTAAGACATTAATTCTCCCCAAATTGCTCTATAGATTCGACATAATCCCAATAAAAATCTCTGCTGCCTTTTTTTGTGGAAGTTAGCAAGCAGACTCTAAAATATTTATATGAGTCCTGGCATGTGTGGCTCAGTTGGTTGGAGTATCATCCCATGCACCAGAAGGTCATGGGTTCGATTCCTAGTCAGGGCACATATCTAGGCTGTGTGTTCAATTGCCAGTCAGGGCATGTGTGAGAGGCAACCTATCACTGTATCTTTCTCCCATTGATGTTTCTCTCTATCTCTCTCTTTCTTTCTCCCTCTCTAAAAATCAATAAAACAATAAAATAAAATACTTATATGGAAAGTCTTAAGCATATGAAAAGATGCTCAACATGATTAGTGATTAGGAAATACAAATTAAAACCACAATATTATACTACTACACACATATTAGAGGAGTTAAAATTAAAAATACTGATCATGCCAAGTGTTGGCAAGGATGTGGAGCAACTAGAACTATCGTATACTACTGGTGGAAATAAAATAATACAATCACTTTGTAAAACAGTTTGGCAGGTTATTAAAAGTTAAACATATACCTGCTGTATGAACTAGCCAATGTACTTCTACAATGGAATACTCAGTAATAAAAGGAACATACAATAACATGGATGAAACTCATATAATTATGCTGCGTGAAAGAAACCAGACAAAAAAGAGTATATAGGGGTGGTCTCTAGTTGTCTGGTATGTGGCCCTAGCATGATTTAGGGCAGGGGCGTATTGGCTCTTTGTGTGAGAATTTGGGGGTGTGGGTTCTGGTTTGGTTGATTTGTATATCAAAGGGGTGTTCACAGGGGAGTTCTTTGCTATCTCTAGGATCAAGGCCCCAAATGTCAGAGCATCAAGAATATAATAGTAAGAAAATATAATCAATACTCTATGGTGATTTACAGTTAAGTATCAACAATAAAACTATTTTAAAAAAATACATTTGAGAGCCCTTTTCAACAAAATTCTATGATGCCCCAATTTAAAATAAAGCAATTAGCTCTAAGTCCTAACTAAATGAACCACAGCAATCCAGGCAAACTGAAGAAAAAATTCTTCAGAATTAGAATAATTTGATGTATATTTTTGAAAGAAATGTACTTCATACACTTGAAGTCACATGCACATTAAGAATAATGCTTTCGAGGACTTTCGGTAAAGATGGTGGAGTAGAAGGGAGAGCAGTAAATCCCAGAGTGAAGACATGCCCTGCTAAGGCCCTCAGGGTGACCTGTGATGAAAACCCAGGTCTGTCAGTTCAGGATCCTTTAAAAGCCACCCTCCTCTGTGAAGCTTCCTGTGATGGTTAATTTTTGAGTCAACTTGACTGGGCCACAGTTCCCTGATTAACATTATTTGTGGGTGTGTCTGTGAGGGTGTTTAAGAAACAATAACAATGCTTTAGAAAAGTCATGCTAACAAGAGGTCCTTATACCAACTAATTTAAGGGACAGAATATATTTTAATTAACACAGTGATTACATCAGTGTTTGCTTCTAAATTTCTTAGGAGTTAATTTGATCGTAAGAAATTCAAATCATTCCCAGAAATCTATTCACAGGAAGGTATGAAATAAAATTTCAGGCCAGTCTCCATCTAAAATTTAGATAACTTAGACTCCAAATGATCACAAATTAGAAAGGTCAGTTGATAAAATGTTTGTTTATTTGCTTCCTCCTGACAACATCAGAACATGTTAGAAACTTTCTGCTTGCAATTGTAGATATTAATGCAAATATATATAATTTAGAAGAACATTTTATAAAATGACATTTGATTTCCTAAAGTTATATGTAATTCGTTATATGAGGTTTAAAAAAAACCCCACACGAAAGAAGGGATGAGGTTTTTGTTTTGTCTTTTTAAAAAGTTGATTAGGCCCAGCTGGTGTGGCTCAGTGATTGAGTGTCAACCTATGACCCAGGAGGTCACAGATCCATTCCTGGTCAGGGTGTATGCCTGGGTTGCAGGCTCGATACCAAGTAGGGGGCGTGCAGGAGGCAACTATCAATGATTCTCGCTCATCATTGATGTTTCTATCTCTTCCTCTCCCTTCCTCTCTGAAATCAATAAAAATATATTTTAAAAAAACTGATTAGCCCTATTCTAATTAGTGTGTCTGATATCGGTATATTTAGTCAGTATCAACAAGAATCTCACTTCAAACTTCAGCTCTAACATTTCTACACTGTGAGCAATTGGATTCACTTAACACGCGTGGAAAAGTTCCTGGGTGCCAACTCCTGTGGGTGTGGGGAGTGTTACAAGATGGAGAAGACGTGCTTCCTATCCTCAAAGGGCGGATGGTCTAGTAGGGGATTTTATAGCACATATTTAACACATAGTTTGAATCTAAGAAAAAAAATATCAAATTTTTTAAATTCATAGGACTGAAGTTAGCAAGTCGTCTGCTTTTTTTTCTCGATAGCACTTTATTCAGTTTCTTTCTTGAGAATTTGAAATTTAGAAATAAATTTTTGGAAACTACATATGGGTATGAAGTCCTTCGCAGGCTGCTGCCAGGGAATATTATAATGAATACGAGCAGCCCAGCGCACGATTTGAAATTGCACGATGCTGCCCACCTCGAGTTGCCGGTCCGGCCCTGCCTGGCTCCCCGGGCTCCAAAGCAGCCGCGGCCGCTGCCAGTCTGGCCCTGCCTCCCTCTCTGGCCCTTGAAGCAGCTGCGGCCACTGCTGATCAGGCCCTCCCCCAGTGCAGGCGTATGGAGGCCCCTGCCGCCCCGCCCCAGACGCTGTGCACGCAACCTCCTCCTGTCCGGGTTGACCCGTTACAGCGTCCCGGTTAATTAGCATTATATATATATATATATAGTTTGGTTAGGCTGAAAAAGGGAAAAAAATTATACTAATTGTGCATGTGTGTCAGAGGATATATATTCTATTAAAACTGGGATTCTAGATGCATATCGAGAGCCTTCAGCAATATTCATGTCTATGTCTTCCCTGTAGGATCAGCCTCCAACTTCAGCTTTTTCAGATGGATGCGGTCTCTTCTGATCCCCTCCTGCAGGTCAGTGCTAATCGGGGGCCAGGACCAGGGTGGATGAGTGTCCTGGGTCCCACTCCTAACTGGGCGAGGGTGTATTGTGTGCAGGAACCCAACCATTGAGACCCTGGAGGAGACTCAGACACTGCTCCTCACTGCCCGCCCCACCCAGCCCCCAGCCTCAGCTCATCAGAAGCTTCCTCTGGCTCATGTCCTCTTGCTTTCTATTCTCAGGAATCATGAACAGGGGCTTTATGTAGAATCTGATTGCAGGTGCTCAGTCCAGAGAGCTATTCTCAGTGAGTTCATAGTCCGAGACACACTAGCATCAGCACATCATCACACACAAGGTTAAGCCCAAAGGCCATTGATCTGACTGTGTTGGTGAAAGTGCAGAAGCCAAGTACAGAAGTATATAGAGTAGGGATCTTGGAGGATTTCTGGGGCACCTCCGTGTTCAAACACGCAGGGAAAGGGAAGAATCAACTCTCCTGAGAAATAGGAGAAGGCCTCATGGAGAACGTAAGATTTCATGAGTGCCCTAATCTCTTTCCTCCTCCTTCACCCTTCCGGAGACAATGCTACCTCACCTTCGAAGGCCTTGGGACTCTAGGAAATTACGTTCCCTCCTCCTTCGAGGAACCAACGCTGCAGGCTGGGAAAATCCAGGCAGAACTCAATCAAGTGTTTATTAAGGTTTCATTTTGTTGGTTTGTTTTTGAAAATCTAGATGTCTGGGTTGCACTTGCCAATATTTCTACCTTTCATGCCCTGACATTGCTGGGTTGCACTTGCCAATATTTCTACCTTTCATGCCCTTTCCTTTGGATCCCAGATGTACATTTGTGATGTAGTACAGAGAACATAAAATGTAGCATTTTACCTTTTTTAAGTGTACAGTGCAGTGGTATTAAGTACATTCATGCAGTGGTATTAAGTACATTCATATTGTTGTGCGACCACCTCCACCATGTATCTCAACTCACTGTCTTGTAAAAACAGAAACATTCCGTCTAGTAAACAGTAACTCCCCCTTCCTGCCTTCCAAGAATCCTTTTTAAGACAAGTCTTATAAGCACTACCAACTTGTTCAAGATTGCACAAGGAATTAAAGCTTGCTTCTAGAGCAACGGTTCTCAACCTGTGGGTCGCGACCCCTTTGGCAGTCAAACGACCCTTTCACAGGGGTCGCCTAAGACCATCCTGCATATCAGATATTTACATTACGATTCATAACAGTAGCAACATTACAGTTATGAAGTAGCAACAAAAATAATTTTATGGTTGGGTCACAACATGAGGAACTGTATTTAAAGGGCCAGAAGGTTGAGAACCACTGCCTCAGAGCCTGGGATGGTGAAGACAAAGGAGCGGGGCCATGGAAACCAACAGGGTAAAGGCTGGGAGGGAGGGTGGTGTGCGGGGAGATCCCTGTCATCTGCTTGGAAGCGGGGCTAACATTCAGTGCGGAGCTGTGGGAGGGGTGGGGTCACCTCTCTGCCTCTCTTCCTGTCTGAGGCCCCAGGCTGGGTGACTCAGATCACAACACTCCTGCCCTGGCCTCTTTTCCCTGTCACCTCGTCCTGAGGAAAAGTTGAGTTTCAGTGGAAAGAGCTTCTGTGTAGAAGCTGCCTAGAGCTGCTGAGTGGCTAAGAGTATTGGGTCCTATCTGATTTACAGGGATATTTTTAGGCATTTGCAGTTTTAAAGCCTACACATGGCCATGGGAGGCCACTACTCCTTCTGTTGCTTTCTGAATTCCTAGAATTTCACCTCTGCGGTCACTGTGGTGCTATGTAGAAAGAAGAATGTATTAGGAGATTATTCTTAGAAGAGGGCAATACTTTGGTTGGAATAGAACCCAGTCCACACTATGCATAGCTCCGTGGGCTTGTGAAGTGGGCGATGGAGGCATCAGCTAAGTCTCAACATTACACTTGCTGGCCTCACCATGGCTCCTGGGCGATGTTTTGTGATGATTATGTAGGAAGGTGAAAGGACCAAGAAATGGTGATTGTTTTTAAAAAGTAGAAATTGGTAGCTGTGTTTTCTATTTTGTAATTTTGAAGTTTGGTTGTTTGTTTTTTGCTTGTTTACAACTATGGACCCAGATGCTCTTCAAATCAAAGAAGAGTAATGGTGTGGTGAAGGTGTTTGGGAAAAGGAATTTGATTAAGTTGCTCCCTGTATTACACCTACAATTCCCAGAATTATGTGAAATTTAGCCTGACCTTGACAAGGCTTTCTTTCCTAAAGTCCTAGCAACTGCCCAGGTGAGAATTTTTAGACCATTCTAGATTAGAAAGTGAGGCATATTATTTGCCAGAACTTAGAAGAATGTAATGGTTTCACCTTTTTAAAAACAAACACATAAACAAACCAGCATTAATGAAAAAAAATGCATTGGCAAAAACACTTCTATGTTCATTGGTATGGCATTTTTGACACTTCTCAACTTTATTTCTTGAAGACTCAACCTTTATAGAAGTTAATTCATTTCTCAGAAAACCTCAACCTAATTCAGATATGTTCTCAGTGGCTGCAAGGCCTTCATCATGTGATCTGAATTTCTGTAACAGCACTTTTTGCCAAAGTCAGTTGAAGCTTTCTGCTTAACTTTTAAAGATTGAAACATCAGATTTATACCTTTAAAAATGTCTTTACAACTATCAAATATACCCCTATTTAAAAAATTGGCATTGCTACTTGTAAAGTAGATGATTCTTTTCGGTTAACTTTCTAAGGGGCAATCACGTCTAAGGTCGGACAAAGGCTTTGGCACAAGGAGGTGGGGCGGTTTTTCTGGGGGGCAGAGCCATGACTGTATCCATCCTCTGCACATCCCTGACCGCCGATCGAATCTCTCCTTACTCCTTAGCCTCTGGCACTTTCCTTGTGTGTCCATTTTATTCCAACTCCAACTGTATGTCGGCACCTCAGTGACAGTGGAATCCTCATCGGGACTTGTTCTTTGTCTTCAGGCCAACGTGGTGTCAAAGCCTTTGTAGTTTGTCTCGGAGCTGCCTGCTATGTCAGCCTTAGCTCTGGAAATCATTCCTCACTCAGCTTTCTTTCCCATGAACCAAAGAGGTTTCTCTTTCTACTCTTCTCTGTTTTTCAGCCTCTCCATTCCATTATTTCACTTGATAAAAAAGCAAAGAAATGCTATCGAGTCCGAGCATGACACTGTTTGGATGGTTATTTTGTACACTTTTATACATTTATGCTAAAGAAAGGTAAAAGTCACTTCTCTCCTTATTTTATACTCATTTCTCATACTTTGTTCATAAACATTTGTACATGTAAGTTGCACCAGTTGTGTTTTTTTAAATTTTATTTTATTTAAAGTATTACAAATAGCAGTACATATGTTTCCTTTTTTCCCCCATTGACCTTCTCTTGGCCTCTCCTATCTCCCCCCCGCCGCCCCTGTACATGCCCTCACCACCTCCCCCCCCCCCACCCCCTGGGCTTGCGTCCATTGGATATGCTTATAGGCAAGCAAAACAGTCCTTCGAGTGTCTCTTACTTCCCCCCCAACCCTCCCCAGCCTTTTCCGTATAGGTTGCAGTCTGTGCGGTGCTTCTCTGCCTTTTTGAAAAAAATAGATACAGTTGGGTTTTTTTAACATATATGTTCAATTAATTAAGCACAAAAAGGAGTTGGGATTTTTTTTTTTGGCAAATTACTTTTTTCTCTTCCCAGGGGGAGGACTCCCTCTTCCCTTGTTCAAGCGCTTGGTTCTTTCCCTTCCGGACGGTTCCTTCTGTGGTTTGTCCTCCCCAAAAGGAGCTTTCCGATCCCCCACAAAGAGCAGATCATTTTTGGCGCCCGTCCTTGGCGGAGGGGTTGACATGGAAGATGACTCAGCTCACCCAAGAGAACGCAGACTTCGCCACTCGGGACCGCTACCACCACTCCTCCCGGGTGAGCCGAGAACAGCTGATGCCTCAGTACTAGAGTGCTGAGCGCTCAGTCCTGGGCAGCCGGGGCCCTCCTCTCCTGGAGCTGTCTAGTGCTCCGCGGACTCCAATCCCAGAGCCTTTGTGGAGCTGGTTCTCCTCAGTAAGAAACTCAAAGACCTGTCCTCCCACTGCCATGTTGGACAATGAACATCTGCATTCTGGTCTGGCGCACCACCGCCAACCAGGGCAGCCACGCGAATGGCAGTGGCTCTGAAACACACTCCCGGTCTGAAGAGCTCCCCACGGACACCAAGACCTGTGGGTGTGGAGATCCAGACCAGACTGCTTGTTCCAAGGGCCGCAATAAATGGTTGTTTAAATTTTTATTTTATTATTTACTCGTTGAATAAATGATGCACCCACATGGTTCCAAACCCCAAAGTATAATCATCCTTGCTCCCCATCTGTTCAGTTCCATTCCCTGCCCCAGAGGTCACCACACCGTTTTTATATTATTTCTAGCGTTTCTTGATGACATACCAGCAAATACGAATGGGGATTCTGATTACTCCCCTTTTATACACAAAAGATAGCGTATTATACATGTGTTCCGCACCTCGATTTTCCCCTTAACGATCTATCTTGGAGACATTTCCATATCATTACATACAGTTTCCTCATTATTTTTCTTTGTATGAATGCACTGTAATTTATTTCATCAGTTCCACAATCATGGCATTTGGATTATTTCCAGTCTTTGGCTGCTATTATAATCAGTTCTGCATTGAATAATCTTGTGCATATGTACAAGCATAAAGAATTTCTGAAGGATAAATTCCCAAACGTGGCATTGCGAGATCAAAGGGTGCATGCCTCTGTAAGCTATTTTTGTGTAGTGAAGGTCTTTTTAATTAAAAAGGTAAATTATCATGATTACCCCATGGTTCATGTTCTCAAAAGCATTGATGGTCCCCAGCTCTCGCCACACCTTTGCAGCTGTTTTTTGGTATAAATGCATGAGGGGACGGAACTATTTTGGTTCCTCTGTGAGCTCAGCATTCATCACAAGCACCCAGGCCTTAGTGGCTTCCCCAGATAAGTGGAGCACCTGGCCCAGAGTCAGTGGTTTCGCTGCGGAGCCCGGAGGGAAGGACTGCTGGGTCGGTTATAACCTCTCTCTCCTGTGGGAGAGTCTCTCCACAGTCAGCGTGCTCAGAATCACCTGGCAGGCTTGTTGAAAATGCAGCTTTCTGCACCTCGCCCATAGACTTTTTTATTTAGTAAGTTTTATTTAGTAAGTTTGAGAGTCCTGGACTTTACTTTTTAAAAAAATATATTTTTATTGATTATAGCAAGGTAGGGAGAGAGAGAAAAAGAGAGAGAGAGAGAGAGAGAGAGAGAGAGAGAGAGAGAGAGAAACAGCAGTGATGAGAGAGAATTGTCTATCAGCTGTCTCCTGCATGCCTCCTTCTGGGGATTGAGGCCGAAACCTGGGCATGTGCCCTGATGGAATCAAACTGTGACCTCCTGGTTCATAGGTCGGTGCTCAACCACTGAGCTACACTGGCTGGCTAAAATTCCTTTATTTTTTTGTGTGTGGTTTATATTTATTTATTTAAAAAATTTTTATTTTTGAAAGTATTACAGATGTCCCCTTTCCTCCCTCCATTG